GACATATTATAGTCAGGGGGGAAAGAGAGAGAAAGATGGAAGAATGGGAAGGAGGGAGGGACAAAGAAAGCTTTCCTAATATATTATGAGGGAATCTGACCTTCACTGAGTGATGACCTATGAGCAGTGCTATGAAGAGGTGAGGTCCACCAGCTGCACAAGCCTATTTCAAGGACTTGCCAGGGGCCGAGCAGCTGTCTCTGGGAAGCCAGCATTAAGTTGAGCTCTAAAGGAAGCATAGATATTAATTAATTAAGTTTTTAGTGGGGGGAGGTATAGATGGAGAGGCAGAGAGAATGTCAAGCAGACTCCCCACTGACCATGGAGTCCAAGATGAAGCTCAATGTCAGTACCCTGAGATCTGAGATCATGACCTAAGCTGAAATCAAGAGTTGGCCACTTAACCAACTGAGCCGTCCAGGTAGCCTGGAAGCACAGGTATTAAGAACAGGAAGGGGATAAGAGAATTCCAGGGCAAGGTAAGAATTCCATGTGCTGGAGATGCCGGGCAGGAAAGAGCCAGATTGCTATAGGAGCTGAGGGAGAGCAGGAGCTGGAGAAAAGAAGACCAAAGCAGGCAAGGCTTCATGGACATGTCCGGGGGCACCACTGAAGGACCTTGGCAGGGAGTCTCTTCACAGAACTGCATCTCAGCAGGAAAACTGGGTGCCAACTGGAGCATGGATTTGAGAGGGGGCTGGGTGGATCCTGGGAGACCATGAGGGGCCTGCCTAGAGTCATAGCAGTCAGGATAGACAGATACAGATGGGATGAAAGATTCTCATGCAATCAAATGGAAAGCCCTTGGTGATGGACAGACTATTTTTAAGTGACTTCATCTCTGACTCCCTGATGGGGAGTCTCCAAACTTACGGTTCAAAAGCTAGAGCAAAGGAAAGACCAGCTTTTTGAACAAAAAGTGACGACTCAGGGCCATGGCTTTTTAACACAATTAAATTCCAGGTGAGCAGAGGCCATAGCCATGGAAAGCACTGTTTTGCGTGAAAAGTACAAAGTGCCTTTTTCCCCTGCTTTATTCATCAATAACCTTACAATTGGAGCTGACATATCTAGTCTTCAAAGAAACAGCAAAGACCTCAGTCTCTGAATATTAAGGGACTTGCCATGAAATCATCTGACCCTTTGTTTCAGCAGTGTTCAGAGAGGAAAGGTGCCATTCATTAGACTCCTTTGGGGGGCTCATCATTTCACTGGCCACCTTCTATGGCCTCTCTCTTCTGGACTTTGAAGGTCCTGCTTTCTACTGTCATGTCACATTTCTAATGGGAAGATACTCTACTAATGAGAAGATATTTGTGTCCTACATAGGTCTGTCCACTTAATCACTGGTCATGCGGGATAGGGCCTGGCATTGGCTGAAGAGCAAAGTCTACAAGCAGTTTCCAAGTAGTAGAGGGTCATTTACTTTGATATCCCTAGAGGGGAAGATAAGTGAGCATAAAGAGACAGTAGTTAAGAGACCTTTTCCCGATGGTCAGGAACTTGGGTTTTGGATCCTAACTATCTGGCTTTCAACTCGGTCCTACCACATGTGTAATTCTGAACTAGTTACTAACTATGCCTCAGTTTCTTCTCTAGAGAACAAGGATCATCATAGAATGAATCCGGAAATCCTTAACTAAAATCTTCGTGCACAGATGTATTTTAAAATTCAGAATTTCTTGATTTTAGAAAGGCAATAGGATTTATATTTTGTACCCACTTTTAGTGGGTCTAGTGCCTGCCCCCATCTCCCACTAATCAATCACATTAATGTTTCTGCAGCGAAACCTAGGTAGGTTAAATTCAAACTTTAAATTAAGAACAATGAGTCTATGAACTCCCAGTTAGATTAGATTTTTTTTTTTTAACCAAAAGAGTTAAAAAAAAAAAAAAAACTTTCCTTTTTCAAGACTTAGGGATTTCCGAGTTGTGAATGGGGGATCATGGAGCTATAGGTACTCCGCAAAGAGGTTTTAAGGATTAAATAAATGAGAGGGAATATATATTCAAGTACTTAGAAAAGAGAGAGGAGAGCAGCCAGAGTTGAATACAAGAGTTGATGAAGACCATTTGCCATTCGAGGCAGCATGCATCATCAGGGCGCCATGGTGAAGGAGGGCTCGCTGCCATCTGCTGGCACATGAAATGTAGACAAAATTGGCCTGTGGACGTGCAAAACCCACCCAAAGACTGAGTCACTTTCCCAAGGGAGCTGTATTCCCGTGTCCTCAGAGTCTCAAATTTCATTTTTCAACATCAAGAGTTTTCTTCTTAACAACACTTTCAGTGTTCAGTGCTCTCAGCCAATAATGTTTAACTCTGCAAGAAAAGAAAGGCACCATCCCTAGGCAAACCTCTATGACAAAAAGCAACTTGAAACAGAGAGAAAGAGTATTATCCAAAAAAGTCTAGCTTCTTTAGCTAGAGTTGATGAGGTGTTGGAAGTCAATATGAGAGCCTGACAGTATCTTTGGTTACCATTTACTCATATTAAACCATATTTTGTGTAACTATCATAAACGGGTCCTCATTTTATTTTATAGTTAGGAAACAGGACATTGCTAATGAACTCTTTTGCTGTCTTTAAAAAGCTTCTAGTTAAAGAACTCCTCGAGACATTTTGGATTGCTTGAATTCGGCAAGCCATCACTGACGATTTCAGGCAAATCCTGTTTCTCCGTAAGCAGAACTCGGTAGCGACAGTGGCTGATTCGACACTCCCATTTTGGGTGTACTATGTGTTATACAAAATGTTGTCTGCCCTTTAGCAGAAGAATATTTGGATAAGGACCAAGATGATTTTAAAACACACAAAACTGTATAGTTTGCAACAAATTAAATCTTAGAATCGGGAGTAGCAGAGTTCTCAGACCCCTGGACCAGAAGCACTGGCATCCCCTGGGAACTTGTCAGAAACGCAGGCTCTCAGGTCCCACCCGAGACTTCCTGACCCTATAAACTAGAAGCTCTGGGTTTGGAGCCTGGCAATCTTAAGCCCCCTCACTGATGCTGATGTCCTGAAGTCTGACCTTCATTGCTCCAACCTTACTCTGCCTCCAGAACCTTGCAGTACTCCATTTTGAATATATCCAAATGCCAGTGCAGTTCCTAAATCACGCATTTCACCACTAGGTCCTTTTGGTTCACAATCTATGGCTTGGTCCTCATATGACATGGTTTCCTGTTGGCAGCCAATCACAGCTCTCTACTAGAATATCTGCTCTCTGTTTGGCCCTCCTAGGTCCTTCCAATGGTGTGCTGATCATGCCGGGCTCCGCAGGGGTGCAAAGGGATAACCTCAATTGTTCTGCTCATTTACTGTTCAGAGCTCTCTCGACACCTTCTGGAGCACCCAAAGGTCCCTAGGGACAGCCTTAAAACACAGTGCCAGATCAGGGAAATGCAGATCAAAACCACAATGAGACACCAGCTCACACTGGCTTCACTCATATGTGGAACAAAAGAGACAAAAGAGATGAACATAGGGGAAGGGAAGGAAAAGTAAAATAAGATGAAAACAGAGAGGGAGATAAACCATAAGAGACTCTTAATCATAGGAAACAAACTGAGGGCTGCTGGAGGGGAGGTGGTGGGGGGTAACTGGGGGATGGACATTCAGGAGGGCACATGATGTGATGAGCACTGGGTGTTCTAGGCAACTGATGAATCACTGAACTCTGCCCCTGAAACTAAAAATACACTATATGTTAACTAAATTGAATTTAAATAAAGAATTAAAACAACAACAACAACAACACAGGGCCAGTCTCCATCCCAGAGTTTCTGATTTGGCTGGTCTTGCATACAGCCTGAGAATCTGCATTTCTAAAAAAGCTCCTAGTTGAAGTTGTTACTGTTGTCTGGGGACCACATTTTGGGAATCACTTGAAAGCCAGCATCACTAAATTATTTGTAGGGGAGTACCTAAAACAAAGAAGAAGAAGGAGGAGGAGGAGGAGGAGAAGAACCACCAACCCAGACCTTCCCCTTCCCCAAATGACTGCTCTGAGATGTTTCCCAAGAAATCCTAAGTATTCATCAATTAAGTCAGTGTATTTGTTTTCACTGGTAATTAAATTCCACTTACTTCGAAAAAAGTCTGAGGTAGCTAAAGTTACCTATCAGCAGAAACAGTCAGTTTACCCAGTGAGCTCAGAGAAGTGCTTTTCCTCTTGGGGGGAAATAGCATATTCTGTTGCTCCTTCAATCTGCTGGCCGTGGCCCTGACCCTGGTTCTCTCAAGCTAAGGTGGAGTGGAGTAGAGGTGGGATACCAGGGCTGAGCAGATTGGCAGAGGTCGTGGAATAGGGGGACAGACTCTAAGCTTTGGAAAGAAACTGGGATGTGACGTTAATAATCCTGCAAATGACCAACACAGTTAACGCCCTCACACACACACATCATCATCTTAAAAGGGAGGCTCTCACTTCCCCATCCTTCCCCACCCTTGGCCAAGCCAAACCAGAAATAGAACACAGCTCACCTCTCAGGGACATCCCCCCCCACTTCATCTCCAGAGACCGCATCTGCTGCTCCCAGAACAAGCTCTGTTCTCACAGCCACACAATTCGCTGCTGAAACCCTAATCCTGAGAGTGGGGCTAGAGCCAGATGAGAGAAAATGCCAACAGGGCAAAAGCCTCATTCCAGATCCCAGATATGACTCTGCCGCCTTCAAAATGGCAAGTGCTACCTGCTGGCCCCAGCCAGGTCCACAGCCCACATCAGGAGCTTATGGAGACATTGGAGGGCTGCTGATGAAAACCACACGGTGGCCTGTGGCTTTTGCTTTCCTGAGTCCATTACTCCATCCGGGGGTGGGGGGCTCTGTGGAGGCTGTTTGGAGGGGGCCCACAGCATAAGGTCATGCATCACTTGCTGGCTCCTCCCTGTGAAAGCAGAGAGTCAACATCCAGCCCACTGGAGACATGGGCCATTCTCACCCTGCTGATTCAAGGGTCAAAGGTCCTGGAGGAACAGTATTCAAGGGCCTCAGTGAACTGCCTTTTGCATCTCACAGTGGTTCCTCAGGAGCGTAAAATAGGAGAAGTGAAACCGAACATTCACCCGTGAAGCAGAGGAGAGGAAGAGCCCAGAGGCCCTTTGTTTGGGGCCCGTTATTTTCTAGTCGGCCACATGCAGGGCCTGGCCATGAAGGGTCTCACGGTGGCCGTCCTCGTCTGGACTCTGATATCTCCCAGCAGCGGCACCAAGGGCTGGCCCACACACACGGTCTGCCGGGATGGGAACCTGGAAGTGCTCTACCAGAGTTGTGGTAAGGTCTTTCAAAACGTGCTATTTTGTGTTTACGGGGAAATGGAGGCCCTCAGATGAGGGCTGCTGTAGTGTTGAGTTGGGATTGGGAAGGGGTGAGAGAACCAGGACCCAAAGGCTTTCTCCACTTGCAGTAGGTCTGCAAGGCCATCAAGAGCCCTTGGGAGAAGGAGGAATGCAGGGTGGGGAGTGGGAATGAGCCTGAAAGAGCCACAAAGAGAACAAGACAAAGGCATTGAGTCTAAATAGACCAATTCACTAAAATGGCAGAGCCCAAAATGACCAAGGAGTCTACCAGATCATGAAACCCCATTAGCTCAAAATTAAGAAAAGATGCTTCTATTAGTCACCTCCACCCCAAAATGTACACCCCGACTAGCTTCCAGGTTATTGAGTTTGCAAACTGAGTGAAACGATCTCATATGTCAAAAGAAAAGATTCCTGCCTTCCAGTGACCCTCCTCAGCGTCACTGCCCACTAATTCAGCACGTACTCAATGCCAAGGTTTTTTCTAGGGCCAGATATAACCAAAGAACATATGCCATGGTTATTACCCCAATGGGGCCAACATCTTTACCAACAAACCGTGCGAGCTAATGAGCAGAATTCAGGAAACAGCAGCTGCAGGTTCTTAACCAACACTTCGGATTATATATTGGTCTACAAAGGCTGTTAGAGCAGAGTACCACGGACTGAAGTCTTAAACAGCTGATATTTATTTTATCACAGTTCTGGAGGCTGGAAGTCCAAGATCAAGGTGTTGGCAGGGTTGGTGTCTCCTGAGGCCTCTCTCCTTGGCTTGTAGGTGGCTGTCTTCTCCGTGTCCTCACACAGTCTGTCCTCTGCCTGGCTGGGTCCTGATCTCCTCTTCTTATAAGAACACCAGTCCTACTGGATTAGGGCTCACCCACAGGACATTATTTAACCTTAATCACCTTTTGAAAGACCCTATCTTCAAATAAAATCATATTCTAAGGTACTAAGGGGTAAGACTTCAACGTATCAGTTTGGTGGGGAGAGGAGCACACTTCCGTCCACAAGGGGGGCCTGAGTGCAGGAAAGTGAGTTCAGCATCAGATTGCATCTTGAATGAGGATGAGAGGGACAGCCTCATGGAAAAGCGTGCCAGTGTGAAATATGATACTTCGGAGGTAGACAGGAAGCAAAATGCAGTTTGGATGGAAGGAGCTGGAAAAGTGATGCTCTTTCAGTATTTAAATCGGCCTCATGGTAAGCTGGGGAGCAGAGGAGATGTTGCCTTGGACCAGATAGCTGATCCGGCAGCTGCTACCCAGGGAGTTGCCGTGGAGAGGTTGGGATGGTCAGGCTGGTCTCTGGGGCCATTTGTCAGACTTGATTTCACTCTTTGAAAAAGAAGGAACACTGAACATTGAAATGCACAAAAACTTTTTTTCTGATGTACAAGCGAATGAATGGCGAAATGCTGTAGGTGTTGATCTCATTACTCTTGCTCTTCCCATGGGGATGGGACACTTTCTGCTGGCATCTACGCATTGTAGGTGCAGCATGAGAAGCAAGAGTTGAGATGAATGGACTACTCGGGATTTGTTTTTCCAATTCATCCTCCCATAAAAGGTTGCCATGGCTGGTCCCTCTCCCAGACCAGCCTGCAGCCTGCAGCCAAGCCTGGCACAGCCTTTCAAGTCACTGCCAAGAAAGACAAGAGAAGCGGATGCATCAGGAGAACAAAGCTTATCACCGGCCTCTGGGGATAACTCCTCCCTCCCTGTAGCTGCTCTAGTCACCCAATGTCAACAAGCCCTGCTCTGGGCACTCAGAGGAAAGGGATGGAGGAGACACAGCTCTCATTGAAGAGTAGTGGGAGGATCAGACAATTCAACAACAGGGTAAATGCTCTGTGTTTAGAGGGATAGAGGCATGTATCATGCACCAGGGGTCATGGTAGTTGGAAAGGGTGAGTTTGGGGGTCTAAACACACCAAGGGAAGGGACATCAAGCTTGACCTCAACCTCAAAGAATGACAAAAATGGTAATTATAACACCTTATGTCCGTGGGAGGTTTACAGGCATTCAGGACTTCCTATGCGTTACTACTTTACGGATGTCTAAACCAGAGTTACAGATGCCAGGGAACTCTTCCAAGGTCACACAGGTAATTGGGCAGAATTATTTCCGGGGAGCACAGAGAAGGCATGAAGTAAATATCTGCGGAATCGAAATGACTTGATCAGGGCTAGCAAAAGCCCGGCTGACTCTGGAGCTTGTGCTTTAATCCTGCTGTCTGGAGTTTCATCAGAAGGCAGGTGGATGGAGGTGGGGCATGGGAAGGATAACTTGGCACAGAGAATGGCATGTTGACAGCAGGGAGAGGTGACCAGGCATAGAGTTCAGGTGGCTGCAGAAGGGATAGAACACAAGGGAGGGACGAGAGGTAAAGTAGGAAGTGTGGGGAGAGCCCAGGTGTGATGGTGAATTTTATGTGTCATATTGATGGGGCCACAGGAGGCCCAGAGAGCTGGTTAAACATTTTCTGGGTATGACTGTGAGAGTGTTTCTACGCTTTAGCACTGAAATCACTGACCTGCGTGAAAGCAGATCACCCTCCTGAGTGAGGGTGGTCACCATCCAATCTGTTGAGGGCCTGAAGAGAACAAAATGGTGGAGGAAGGAAGGATTCACTCTCCGTCAGCCTGACTGTAAGCTAGGACTTTGACCTCCTGCTTGGAGCGCTCCTGGCTTTCAGGCTCGCCCTGGGATCTTCAGACACACCACCAGCCTTCATGGGTTTCCAGTTTGCAAATGGCAGACCACAGGGCTTCTCAGCCTCCATAACCACATGAGCCAGTATCTTATGATAAATCTCTTTGATTATATATATATTTTTCTAGTATATATTTCCACTGGTTCTGTTTCTCTGGAGAACCCTAATACAGTACAATACAAGGTTGGGCTGCGTCCCTTTGACAATGAGGAGATTACATTTGGAAAGATTCCCTCAGGGAATGGATGGAAGCTTGAATATTAGCTTGAAAGTTATTTGAGGCCACAGCCAAGGTTTGTAGCCTGTAGAATCAATAATCCAGGGGGTGCCTGGGTGGCTCAGTCAGTTAAGCCTTCAGCTCAGGTCATGATCCCAGTGTCCTGGGATCAAGCCCCATGTCCAGCTCTCTGCTCACCAGGGAGCCTGCTTTTCCCTCTCCCTCTGCCCCTCCCTCCTGTTTGTGCTCATGCGCACACGTGCTTGAGCTCTTGCTCTCTCTCTCGCTCTCTCTCTCCGTCAAATAAATAAATAAAATCTTTTAAAAATAATAATAATCCAGGAAAGAAGTATGACAGGTCAAACTAGTATCCTATTGAAAGCCTCAACATCAGAGGAAATCTTTGGGATATTCTGGTGTCAGCAGAGAAGAAAGAAAGCAGTGCCCTGAATTTTCTCCAAAAAGTGGGTCCTGGCTCATCTCCAGAGAGCACTGAGCCATCAGAGACTGAATAATTGCATACCCCTCCCCAGATGGAGATGGTCCTCTCTGTAGCTGCTGGATTCACAGCAGGGCACCCCACCCACCCCTGCTCCCTAGGCTTTCACACTGATAACACAGAACAAAGGCCATGTGTTTAGACCCTCTATCCAACCCTGGTGTTCAGATCTCCTTAGTGCGTGTCAGGAGCTTCTAGAATCTCAACATGCACACAGATGTGGGGGCATCACCTGACAAAAGTAGAGGATTTACTGTTTTCTGGGTTTAGTGCTTCATTTTTTCCTTCTTGTTTTATTTAATAATTTTAGTAGGAGGGGCAGCTCTTAGGCCAGACACTGTTCTAAATAATACAAAAATCCTTGAGGAGAAAGAAAGAAATTCACAGAAAGTTGCTGGGCTCTGAACACTGACTGGGAAGTGAGCACAATTTTCTGAGAAAGCAGAAGTCCTGCTCTGTCCAACTGTTAATGCTACAGTAAAGACTGACAGAAGGGGGAACCAAAGCAGCCTTTTATTAGATCATAAGACAATCCCCAGGGCTAGCAAAACCCCAGGGACTTCACGCATTCCCATGCCACAAATGTCCACCAATGTATTTATTTATATTCTGTCTCTATCACACCCGCTCAGGAGATGGATTACAAAAGTCCACAGGTTTGGAGGATGAAACAGGTAGTGGGGAAACAGGTTGGGGGTGGGGACGGGATAATAAATCCAGGAGATATCAGGAAACATACAACAGATGAGACAGTGTGAGGAGTAAGATCTGTGGGTCTGAGGTCAGCAAACTTCATTCCAGCCATTGGGCAATATTCTCTGTCTCCTCTCCTTGATTGCAAAGTGGGCATATCAGTTTCCTATGGTGTACTAGTAGTTACCACTTGGTGGCTTAAAATGACACACATGTCTTCTTTTAGTGTCCCAGAGGTCAGAAATCCAAAGTCAACTTCACTTTGTGAAGCGCCACACTCCCTTGGAAACTCTAGGGGAGAATCTCTTTCCTGGACTTTTCTAGCTTCTACAACTATATTCCTTGGCTCATGGACCCTTCCTCCATCTTCAAAGCCAACAGGCCAGCGTCTTGCTCCAACATCTTGTTCTCATATTGCTTTCTTCTATGCCAAATCTCTCTCCACCTCTCTCTCTCTCTCTGAAGGGAACACTGAGATTAGAATAATCTCCCCCATCTCAAGATCCTTAAATTAATCCCATCTACAAATTCTCTTTTTCTGTGTAAGATAACATCAGCAGATTCTGGGAATTAGGATATGGATATCTTTGGGAGCCCTCATTTATCCCACTACAATAGAGATAATAATTTTACCTACCTCTCAGGGCCATGAGAGGATTAAGTAAAAGGATTGTATGAAAAGTGCTTAGTACATACTTAGTACATAATTCTTTGCTGCTGATGACTTGCAAGACATTTTCTAGTCAATAGAGGTGTATTTGATTATGACCTTCCTCAAAACCATATCAAACAAGGAAATTACATCACTTGCAAAATAAAATCTGTTTTTAAGAAGTCTAGTCTTTCCTG